GCAGGACAACACCCACCCCACTGAACCACACCAACCAGGGTTATGAATATTTTTGTAGAAGTCTCTTGGTAGACAGATGCACTCACTTCCCTTGAAGTGAAATTGTTGGACCACAGAGTAGGTAAATGTTTAACTTTAGTAAATACTGCCCCATAATTTCCAAAGTGATTTGTACTGAGAAGCAGTAACAGCGCTTTTTTCAGCCTATTCAATTTATTGTTTGGAATTTCTGCTCTCTTCTGGTCATCAGATATGGCATTTACATTTCTGTGTCTCGTTTTCACTTTTGCTCCGGTGATTTCTGAGAGCAGGAAATGCCATCTTCATCACCGTCAAACTGCAATACCTCTTTCCTTTTTAAAGCCACGAATGCAAGGTTGATTTAACATTGAAAAAAAGCAATTAATATGATTCAACATATTATCAAACTAAAAAGTTTTAAAAAACAGATGAGCATTTCGATTGATGCAGAAAAAGCATTTGACAAAATCCAACATCTATTCTTGCTTTTAAAAAAAAATCTCTTGTGAAGCTCCAATGGCCTAATGGATGTGGCGCTGGCCTCCTAAACCAGGGACTGTGGATTTGAGTCCCATCTGAGGTGAAGTAATTTTTTTAAAAATCTCTCAGCAAACTAGGAATAGAAGGAAACTTTCTCAAAGTTATAGAGGGCACCTATGAAAAAACCTACAGTTAATCTCACACTTAATGATGAAAAACTGAATACTTTTCCCCCCAAGATCAGAAAAAAGACAAGTATGTCTGTTCTTATCATTTCTATTCAACACTGTACTGGATGTCCTAGCTAGTGTAATAGGGCAAGAACTATAAATAAAAAGCCAACAGAATGGAAAGCAAGAAGTAAAACTGTCTTTAATTACAGACAACAGAATTGCCTAGATAGAGAATCCAATGGAATCTATAAAGTTATTAGAACTAATAAGCAAATTTAACAAAGTAATTAATATGTGTCCATGGCCATGGTTATGATACAAGGTCAGTATACAAATACCAGCTGTATTTTTCTGTACTAGCAATGAATGATCAGAAATAGAAAATTTTACATAATATAATGTACAATAAAAATATGAGCACTTAAGGGTAAATCTGGCAAAAGATATAAGAAACCTGTGTACTGAAAGCTACAAAATATTGCTGAGGGAAATTAAAGAAGACCTAAGCAAATGGGCAGATATATTTTACTCATGGGTTGGATGACATAATAGTGTTAAGATGTCCATTTTCCCCATCAATACAATAAAATCAAAATCTCAGAATTTTTGCAGAAATTAACAAGCTAATTTTAAAACTTATATAGGAATTTAAAGAGCCTAGAATAGCCAAACTAACTTTGATAAAGAAGAAGAACAGCGCTGGCTGGTGTGGTTCAGTGGATTGAGTGCCAGCCTGTGAACCAAAGGGTTGCCAGTTTGATTCCCAGTCAGGGCACCTGCCTGGGTTGCAGGCCAGGTCCCCGGAGGGGGATGTGCAAGAGGCAACCAATCAATGTATCTCTCACACATTGCTGTTTCTCTCCCTCTTTGCTCCCTCCCTTCCCCTCTGTCTAAAAGTAAATAAATAATTTTTTTTTAAAAAAGACAAATAGATCAATGAAACAGAGAGTCCAGTAATAGATCAACACATATATGTACAACTGATTTTTGAGAAAGATACAAAGGGAATTTAGCAGAGAAAGGATAGACTTCAACTCATAGTGCTGAAACCAGTCATATAAAAAAAGAATTTCAACTCATATCTTGTGCCATATACAAAAATTAATTCAAAATAGATCATAGATCTAAATATAAAACCTAAAACTATAAACCTTCTAGAAGAAAACACAGAGAAAAACAGCTGTGACCTTGGGTTAGGTGAAGATTTGTTAGATAATACACCAAAAGCATAAGCACCAAAAGCACCCATAAGAGAAAATTTTAATAAACTGTCCTTGATCCAATTTAAAATGTTCTGTTCTCCACAAGACACTATTAAGAAAAAGGCAAGCCCCAGAAAGAAAGCATTTGCAAACCACACATCTGACAAAGGATTGGGATCCAGAATAAAGAACACTCAAAATCAAACAGTAAGTTGTAAAAAGGCGCAGGAAAGTAGGAAGAACACAACTTGTCTAGAAACTTTACCAAAGAAGATGTAGAGATCACAGATGGGCACAGGAAAAGATGTTCAACGTCAGAAGTCATTATGGAAATGTGAATTAAAATCATACCACCTACCTATTAGAATGACCAATATTAAGAAGACTGACCAAGTTTTGGCAAGGATGTGGAGAAATTGCACCCCTCATACACTGCTAGTGGGAATGTAAAGTGGGACAACCACTTTGGAAAATTGTTTAGTGGTTTCTTAAGAAGTTAAACATACATTTACTATATGGCCCAGCCATTTCATTCCTAGATGTTTACCCAAGAGAAATGAAAACATATGTCTGTACACAGATATGTACATAAATGTTCATAGAAACTTTATTTGTAATAGCTAAAAGCTGAAGTAACTCAAATGTCCATCAACAGGTGGAATACTACTCACCCATAAAAGGAGTGAACTACTGATACACCAAACATGGATGCTGTTCCATCAATCTTACTAATTAGACTGAGCAAAAGAAGGCAGATGAGAAAGGGTAGCTCCTGGATAGTTCCATCTATGTAACATTCTAGGAAATGCATATTGATGTGTAGCAACAGAAAGCAGATCAGTGTCAATAGCTGCTTGGGGTGGGAGTAGGGAGATGTGAGGAGGTTGTGGGGAGGGGAGGCAAGGAGGGATTCTAGAGAGGCAGGATAAATTTCGCTGATTGTGATGATGGTTTCACAAATGTATACATGTCAAAATGTATCAAATTGTACATTGGAGTCCTGGCTGGTGTTGCTCAGTGGACTGAGCACCAGCCTGCGAACCTAAAGGTCACCAGGTTGATTCCCGGTCAGGATTCATGCCTGGATTGCAGGCTAGGTCCCCAGTTGGGGGCGTGTAAGAGGCAACCAATCGATGTTTCTCTTGCACATCATATTTCTCTTCCTCTCTTTCTCCCTCCCTCCCCCTCTTAAAACAAATAAAATTTTAAAAAGAATTGCACATTTGAAATATGTCAGTTTACTGTCAGTTACACTTGAATAAAACAGGGTTTTAAAAAAGTATAGGTCCCTTTCCTTGCAATCAGTAAGTTTACCTTTATTATCATTCATCAACATGCATGGTATGTGCTTAAACACTGAGATGAACTCAACACCTAATCTATGCAGGTAACCGGATAATGTAATGGAAGGCAAGTCATCTGCTTTTATTGGGAAACTTCCAGTTTGGTTAAACTGTTTTGGAAAAAAAATTCCACTAATTCTCTTTCCTTAAAATACTTTTCCCCTTCTACCCCCTCCCACCCTGGAAAATAAAGGCTGGTGTCACATCTGAAAGCATCTGCATCCTTCTCCCCTTTCAGGAATATCTTGGTACGGCAAAGGAAATGATACTGGACCATTCTTTAAAAACCAAGATTCCATGCATGAGAGGGAGGCTAAGCTTGTCTTATTGAATGATTTGACAGTGGTCAACTATGAAAGGCCTTTGAGACAATGAAATCTGTCATGCTTAACCCGCAAATAGTGTGCCTACCAACTGGAGGAACGCAGGGTTTTCATCCTCTTTACATCTCAAAACAAAGGCTGGAAAGTAATTTAAATGCATGGAGATTTATATGTGGCTGTGTAAGTTTCTTGTTTTCCAATCATAACTGAATAAAACCTATAGTGCAGAAGTGTCCTGTACTGTAGGCTTGAAAATAATTTTTCATCATTTCACTCTTATGGACTTCAAATCTAGGTTGGGGCACTAAAGAAAAGGTTGTGAAATTTCACTGTGGGCAGTGCGAGCCACACGGCAAGAGGGGGTGGAAATCAGAAGTGCAGAGGTAGGGTGGTGCACATATGGAGCACACTGCAGTCTCAAGGTGCTTACAGAGCGAGTTCCAGAATTCGCATGGGGGTTGGAGGGAGTGGGAAAGCCCAGAAAAGGCTCAGTAAGGAAGATGACAGGGAATTCTTAGACAGTAGGATGGCAGGCAACAGAGAGGAGTCCCATGAGGTTGAGCAACTCATATAACTTTCTTCTCTAAATCAGTCCAGGTGTCATTTTTTCTCCAGTGACACTGAGAAACTGCAGAATCAGAGGGGCAAAACGTCCAGACAGCACATAGGCTTTGAGGAAAGGCAGGAGTGGACAAGGGATTGGGCAAATTAGATGCAGCTGGAGAGGGCTGCTCCAAAGATGGGTTTTATTAACAAAAATTAAAAATCAATTTTTGCAAAAGAAATTACTTGAAATCTTAACTCCCAAAGGCTTTCTTTCATTTTTGTATGTTCCATTACACTTTTGTCCACACCAAAGAAAACCAAGTGTGTCTCAGACACTGTGCTGGTGCCTTTGCACACTCTTGTTGCTCAACTGCCTCGTTGTGGTTGCTGTCTACAGGACTTTGTTAACTTGTGTATGTCTCTGCAGCCCCAGTGCATGCTATTTTGTTTACACTTAAATTGCTAGCAAGAATCAACACTTTTGTGGTCTATTTCTATTTCCATTTGTGTTAGATGGTGTAACCTTTGCCAAGGTAAAATTTCAGTAACAAGTATAGGAAGTTAATGCAAGAACTCTGTATCCCTCTCTCCCATCCAATTCTACTTGAAGACTATTAGCGGATCTCTGTTTCCTTATCTTCTGGCCCCACACCACTCACCTGCCTGTCATGCTCCATTCACCACCCCCTGCCACCATTTAGCCCACACATCACCCATGATGCTTATTAGTAGTCAAAACCAAGGGTCAAGCCTCTCATCGAAGCTGAAACCCTGTACTCTTTCTTCCTGATGGAGTTTGGCACAGTCTCCTTCCCCCTGACCCTGGAATTCTCCCTTTGTTCCTCTACTGCACCAACCCCCACCCCACCCCATAGTTGGTCTATGTTCATTTTGCTCTCAGTGCACATTATATTTATTAAGTCACGACTTTTCTAACCAGTCACCCACTTGGGTTTGGGAGCTTCTTGATTAGTTCTAACCACCTGTTGAGTGTCCACCGTATGCCAAGAACTGTGCAAGGTAAGTTATGTGTCTATTTCCAGGAAGAGATGAATGCTGAATGTACACACAAATATGTGAGACTGATATAGGCGAGGACCAGTCAGATCCAAAAATTCCATGTAAAATGTTGACAATTTCAACTCAGCCTTTGCTATTTTCCAATCCCAGAGAGCCGCTGACTAGGGGGAGCCCCTCCAGGATCTTTATTAAGCACATTTGTGTTCTGGTGAGAATGAGAACGTGAAGCAGCAGGAAGGACGTATACAGTGGTTTCTAACCAGTGTGAGGAGGAAGGTCGGAAGCTGGAGAGAGCCCAGGGGCAGCCTCTCCAACTCTTAAGGCCGTGGTCTGGGAGACTCGCTCCTTCACACAGGAAGATGCCGCTCTCTTCTTCCACGCCTTTATTGGTCACAGCAATGGAAAAGAACAGTGCCAAGTGCAGCAGACACCCAGGCCCCGCACCTGGGGTGGCAAGCAGGCCCTGCAGGGCCATTAGCACATCCAGCCCCAGCCCAAGATCCAGTCTAACCAGGCCATGTCCCCGAGTGGGCAGGAGGCCGTCTGTCCAGTTTGTATGTATGGATCAGTCTGTCTGAATGTCTGACCCGCTGCCTGCAGGGTCCCCCCATCCTTGGCACTTCGTAGGGGCTGTTGGGAACACAGCGTGGCATCCCACGGTGGACCACTGGGCCCCGGTGCTGACCATGGAGGACAGGCCCAGGGACTGGAGGTGGCAGGGGGCCAGGCACAAAGTTCACTACAGGGCCACATCCTACAAAAGAACCAGTCATTTATCAGAGTGTGCTTCCAGCCAGGGTCAGCCCAGCTCTGCCTTTCGGCCACTCTGGTCCTCAGAGTTTCTTTGGGCTTCAGTTTTCCCATCTGCAAAATGGCAATACTACTTCCCTACTGTGGAACTGTGACAATGAGCTGATTAATGAGTCTATGGATGCTGTTTCACTCAGCTGTGACTGAACCCAGTCCTGAATGGGGGCATAAGGGTGGTCCAGCTGTTCTCAGCTTGCCTGGGCAGAGGAGGCTAGGCTGCGGGAGGTTCAGGGGAAAGCTGGGAAAGGTGTAACACGAGGCTGCAGAGGCACCTACCTAAGTGGGGTGGCACTGAGAAGTCTTCCGTCATACTACAATCGAAGAAGTCATGGGGTGGGAGGGGCTGGCATGGGAAAGAGGGGGCATCCTGGGGCAGGGATGGAAACAGGGAAGGCAGGGAGGGCTGAGGAAGGGGGTAGATAAAAGGCATGGGAGGGGGGAGGGGTGGGGGCAAGGCCAGCTGCTCCCCGAAGTCTGGGGGCTGCGCCTGGCTCCCCTGGAACAGATGATCCGGCTCTGGCCAGTCCTCAGTCCGTGGGTCTAGGAATGGGATGATTCTATTAGGCAGGCCAGGCTGCCCGGGGCTCGGCCCTCCCACTTCTAACCCTCTACTCCCTCCTGTAGGTGGCAGCACCCTCCACTTTCTACCCAGTGCTCCTCATTCCCTCCCATTTCAGGCCAAGCCCAAGGTGTGTTCCTTTTCCTTGCCTTTCTCAAAAGTCAGTGGACCTATTTTTGCTCTGACCTTAGGTTTCCCTCTAGCAGGGGTGTTAAATGCATTTTCACTGGGGGCCACATCAGCCTCGTGGTTGCCTTCAAAGGGCTGAAATAATTTTAGGACTGTATAAATGTAACTACTCCTTAACTATTAAGTAGTTGAAATTACATTTGGCCCTTTGAAGGCAACCACAAGGCTGATGTGGCCCTTGGTGGAAATGCGTTTGACACCCCTGCTCTAAGACTTCTCCCTTTGCTTGTCCAGCTCCTGTATCTTTAGTTTTTCCCTCTCTGAGCAATTCCCTGCAGACCAAGTAATAAGTTTACTAAGTCTTCTCTTCTAAAAATATAAAGATCCTGCCCCTCCCTTCTCCTAGTAGTCCCCTGCCCCTTTTAAATTTCCACAAAGAGTATGGTACCCAATTTCCATTCCCTCATCCACTGCTGTCTCTTTTAAGCCTGCTCCAATCCTTTGACACTTTTCCCACTAAATGTAGCTGCTTCCTGGCAAATTTAACAAATTCCTTGCTTCCTGACAGTCACATGACATGGCCAATACCCTTGTCCTCCTTGGAAGTGCCTCTACTCTCACTTCCTTTTGTTTTCTCCATTAGCCCCTCTTCCCTTCCAGCTCCAAAACATGGCAACTGTTCTGCAGTCTCCTTCACCGTTCACACTCAGGCCCTCAGCTTCCATCTCTCTGCAGACACGGCCAACTCCAAATCTACTCCAGCATTCCCTGGTACCTCAGATAGCACTGCCCTGACCAAACTCACCAGCTCAGCCTCCCACCCAACTCCGCCTTCTGACATCCCTATTTCTGTAGCTCCAAACTGAGTTCAGAAGACCTGAGGCACCATAATCTGGCCTTACAAGTTTAGAGCATCCCTCCTTTGCTGGGGATCAGTTCTCTCTTCTAAAACAAACAAGGAAATTGGACCATTATACAATCAAAGTCTAAATTTACCTCCGATACTCCAACTCCCAGCTACCAAGGCCCAAAAGTCTGCCTCTTTGACACTCTTGGCCTGTCTGTGCTACCATCCCCTCCAATGCTACAACGAACAGCCTTCTAACATGACTCATGTCTCCAACTCACCGAACGCTACCCTGTGGGTACTGTGTACACAGCGACTGTGCTAGACACTGGGGCCAGAAGGGGTGAGTTGTCAACAAGGGAGGCAGGAACTTTCCTTTTGAGGACACGATCCAAAGGAGAAGCAGACATGGAAACAGTCAGCCACAACGCCCACTCTGTGAGCAGACAGGAACTGGGAGGCTGACAGCACCCGCCGAGGGGCTTCTGTGCTTCTGCCACACTGCCTGGACAGCCCTTCCTCCCTCTCTGTCTTTCCACCCCCCACTTCCATGCCTAGCTACAAGTACAGCCTTTTCTTTCCTGCTCATCTATAGGGGAGAGACCTTTTGACATGCTGATTTATGTACTCAATGCATGTATAAGCTCATTTGAGTACACAGAGGTCACCACATGGCTAGACCAGACAGAACCAGAACCTGGGCTGCAGTGTTGCTCCTGTGATCTCACCCTCCTGAAGGGATGAGGAAGAAGCACTCAGGGTCCACGGCAGTCCCTCAAAGGACCTCTGCTCCCCTGGAGTACTTCTGTCCTGTTCCGTTTGTGAGCCTTGTGCTCCAAAGGCCCTCTCTGCATCACTACCCCCCCCCAGTCCTGATAGGGCTCACCAGGGGTGCAGTCACGCTTAGGCAGCTCCACGCCCCAGGCATCAGCTACATGGGTCAGAAGCAAGTGTGAGAGGTGGCGGTGGGCATGCTGGTCCCAGTGGACACCATCCCGGTGACGGTGCCGTACTGCATGCCGGAAATGAAAGTGGAGGTCCAGGACATCGAAGCAGTGATCCCCAGCCAGCGTGGCACTGTAGAAGTTCCCTTCAACCACATCCCGCCGCAGAGAGGCTGCCAGTGGCTGGAGCTGAGAACGTGTGGCATCTAAGAGCCACAGAAGGAAGCAGGGTGGGGAGAGAGGGTCCTCCGTTTACGAGTCAACTGTCCCCTCCCCCATCCTGATAGGTTGGGTCACTTGCCTCGGGCAGAAGGAAACCCCCAGTGACACGCTCGCCCAGGGGCATCGCCATGTTCCACACCAGCAGGCAGGAGTCTGGCAACACCTGGTCCATGCGCACAAACACCCGCTCCAGGTTCTCTCGGTAGCTCTCCATTGAGCAGCGGCCATACCTATTGGGCAGCACGTAAGGTGGGCAAGAGCACAGGGGTAGATGGCCTCTGAGCCACACCTCCACCCCCAACCAGTATTTCCCTCTCCCCTCGTCTCAACCTGGAGAGATCCCAGAGGCAGGAGTTGATGATCACCAGGTCCGGGGCAGGCCCATATGTCAGCTCCTCCAGGACGCCCTCGAGGTACTCGGAGTAAACTCGGGTGAGGAAGTAGAAGCGCACAAGGTGGTGGCCAGAGCCCGAGCAGAACTGGCGGACCTCCCGGTACTGTGTTCCGTTGTGCAGCTCGCCCAGCTGACCCCCAGCCACCAGCTGGTCCTGTTCAAAGCTCAGCTCCCCCTGCCCACCCCCCAACCCAGCTGGTCAGAACCATGCCAGGGAGGAAGACCCTACCAGGCCAGGGTCTGTGCCCACCCACCACTGGCATGGCTACAAGCTTCCCTCACCTTGGCTTTCAGCTGGGCGGCTGTGAGCAGCGAGTCTTTCTGGAGCAGGAGCACCAGGTCCTTGTACACAGCTCGCTGGACTGCAGGGAGACAGATTGCAGGGTGAAGGCAGGCTTCACCCCAACCCAGCTTCTCCCAAGTCCAGGCTCCCCATCTTCCCTGGGCTGGGACTGTCCAACACCACCTGTGTGCAGTGTTGATATTGAGGCAAGAGGAAAGGTGAGGTTCAAAAGTCTTGGCACTGTCTCTGATCCTTCTAGTTGTGAACCACCCCCAACTTAGTATACAGCCACCCAAGATCACCTAACAGAAGTCAGCCAAGTCACGTGGGAGACAAACAACACAATCCACTGCTCCCATAAGGGAAATTATAGGGAATGTCAGGGAGAAAAAACGCTAAGCAAGAATGGGTAAAAAGCCTGACAGACTGTATCTGTCCGGACACCTGTGGAAGGTGCATGGGGAAATACAACGAGAAAACGTACTGGACTGAAACAGGGGTCAGAGAGCAGGTTAGAAATGGAGATAAAGGATACAGACTTAGAAAAAGGGCTGCAGTTACGCGGCTGGGAAGTGTGATCCTAGAGGAGCACTCACTTGAGTCTCCCAAGATGACCACGAACTTGTTGTGTAGCAGCTGTTGGACTTCCGAGGCTTGAAAGTGGACCATGGCGCTTTGCAGCGGACGGCGTGGCTCTTTGTTCTCCAGACAGAAAACCATGCCGCCGCTGACAATGGGCTGCAGGAAGAGGCCACTAAGCCGCACGAGGGTGGAGACTCAGGGCAGGTCGGGCCCATGATAAATGAGACCAGTGACGGCCCCTCCTGGCCTGTTCAGGGCTACAGGAGCCAGACGGTGACGGTGGCAGTGTGGGACCCATGGTGGCGCAGGCCTCAGTCACATCTGGCACCAAAGGCGGGGGATCGCCGGGCAAGCAGGTCACCGGGGCACTGGGGCGCTTCCCACGTAGCGCTGCACAGCGCCCCGCCACGTGCCCGCCGCCGCCTCGCGCATGCGTGCGCGCCCGCTCGCGCCAATTACCAAATCCGGGGGCTCCAAGCAGTTCACCCGCGGACAGGGCAAGCTCGCGCACTGCGCGCCTCGCCTGCAGTGAGCTCTGAGCTTGGCCTCAAGTTCCCATGCCCCGGGAGGTTAGTCGGTGCTGGACAGCCCCCACCCCGCCGAGCCTGTGTGACTCGATTAGATGTCGGTGCGCACCCCGGCGCCCAGCGTTCTCCATTCACAAATCGCCGTAGCCCCGACGGCGCCTCGGGCCTCGGCGCCCGGGGCGACGTCGCTCACAGATCCCACTTCCGCTCACCCATGGCCCGCCCTGCGCTACCCTCAACGCCAGAGGGGACAGGAAGGACACAAGGCCCATTCCCGCAGGAGCCAGAGCCGGGGCCACCTAGGCGGGCACAGGGCCTGGGTGTGGGCGGGGGAGCGGCGTCGGCCCAGTGCAGCTGCCCACAGTGCTATCGGCTGTGGCGGGGGCCTCGCCACGTGACCGTGATCGAGGAGGGCGGAAGCGGAAGTGCCGGCCTAGAGCCCGCGCTAGGCGGGTGTCCCTTCAACGCAGCCCAGAAGTGCCCTGCACCAGCCATGGACTGCTACACAGCGAACTGGAACCCGCTCGGGGAATCTGCCTTTTACCGGTGAGCCGCCCCGCCCTCCCGCCTACGGCCTGGCTTACCCGGCTTGCTCGCCGGCTGGAGTCTCGGGGCGGAGCCGGCAGCGCGCGACCCCGTCACTCCCGGCTCTGGGGTCCGCCCCTCGCCGGCTCTTCCCCGTTGTCTGCCACTTAATGTACAGCAGCTGCCTGTGACTAGGGAGCGGGCACTTCCTTTACTCCAGAGAAGGAAACTGAGGCAAGCCTGGTGGTCGCACAAGTAGAGGCAGAGCCCAACGCTGAAGCCTAGGTCTGTCAGCCTCCGGAAGGATGCTCAGATCACGTTGAATGAGGCCACCCATTGGTGACAGCGAGTGCCCAGTCCGTTGCCGGGAGGTGCTGCTGAAGTCAGACTACAGGGGCGTCCCGAGGGTGGGGGGGCCGGGCGGAGTAGCAGTGTTGACCAAGGCTGGGGGAAAGAGAGGAGTCGTCGGTGAATCCAGGGACAGCGCGAGTGAGCACCCCCAGCCAGGGGCAGGCCTCCCTCTCGTGGGAGTTGTAGAATCCTAAACTACTAATCTTTCTAAAGTGTAAACTGATTACAAAATTACCCTGGTGCCAACCACTCTTGTTCGATCTGTAAATCGGCTCCTGTTTCTCTCTCCAACTTTACTTGCTCCTCTTGTATGCAAGTTGTGTGTTCGGTGGCGCAGAACAGGAGCTCACTCTACTGTGATGTTTCGTGGCTCCCTGTGTTTGCAGCAGCCTGCAGTTCCTTCTGTGGGCACTGCCATTTCCTTCTTTATCTACCCCTGTGAAGAATTCTTGCTCACCCTTCAGGACTAAGTTCAAGGGTCTTTTCTGAAATCTTCCCTGATCTAACCCAGTAGAGACAGCTGACTTTCCTTTGGCCCCAGTGCCAGGGCCTGTTATGTATGGCACAGTAGGGCAATGTTGGTTCCTTCTGCTAAATCAAGTTTCTTAAGGGCTGCGAGCATATTTCTTGCATCTCTTTATCTCCAGTGCATATTTGGAATAGTGCCTGCTATGTAGTTGTCCGATAAAGTTTTTTAAAAAACACTATTGATTGCAGCTAAAGATCACAAAGACACTTCCCTGGGGTCTTATTTCAACAGAAAACAACAGTTGGTGCTAGTGAAACTGTATGCCATTGTTATTCATGCATTAAAACTTCTGTGTAGTTTTTGATTAAAAAAATGTCAGCCCTTGAGAGGGGCAAATGCCTTGTGGCAATTTTTATAGCTCTATTGCATTTGCTGTTTATTTCTAATTCTTATCTCATAAATACATTTCTACAAAGTGGAAAAAATGTAGAAGTTCAGTTAAAATTAGTGAAGTCAGTAGGAAATAGCAATGCTATTAACTGTTTTGTGGAGAAGGGATGTCAGTTGGCATGTGATTTAGTGTTTACAACACAGCATACAATTTTGAAAATATTGACTTCTATTACTTTTGAAAATACATGTTGCCTGGCTGGTATGGCTCAGTGGATTGAGTGCCCACCTGCGAGGCAAGGGGTCGCTGGTTGGATTCCCAGTCAGGGCACATGCCTGGGTTGCAGGCCAGGTCCCTAGTAGGGGGCACACAAGAGGCAACCACAGTTTGATGTTTCTGTCCCTTTCTTTCTCCCTCCCTTCCCTTCTCTCTAAAAATAAATAAATCTTAAAAAAAAAAAAAAGAGCCAGTGTGGCTGGAGTGCCACAGGCAGGGACTGGGCAGGGGGCAGACAAGAGATGCAGCTGATGCCCCCTTCTGAGGGGTCACAACCTGCAGGGCCTTATAGGTCACCTTTATTTGAAGAACAGTGAGAAGCTTAAAGGAAAGGATCTTAATGAAAGGGTTGATGTGATTGGATTTGTAGGGGTGTATGTGGGTGTGTATTTAAGTCCCTTCTGGAGGCAATGGTGGGGGCAAGTTGGGAAGGGGAAGCAAGAAGGGAGACAGGGGTCTGGTGGAATAGACCAGGGAGAAGCTGACACTGGTGAGCAATAGGGCAGTAATGGTGGAAACGGAGAAAAGGGAGCCCATCCGAGAGATACAATTGAAGGAGATTGTGATGGGTTGCACCTGGTATGGAGGATGACTTGGGTTTTTGGCTTTTAAGATAATAAGAAAATTAAAATGAGTTTGATGGGGAAGAAGGTGAGCTTGATTTTGAACATGTTGTCTTGGGTACTTTAGAAACATACTTTATGACCAAAGAAGGGAAACTGAAGGTACGTTTACAGGGGTGGGCAAAAGTAGGTTTATAGTTGCGAGTACATGCAACACAGTCCGACTTGTATGTATTTTATATTTTTCCATACGAGCAACTGTAAACCTACTTTTGCCAACCCCTGTATATTTCTGAAACTCTTCTTAGAAGTAGACTGTTTTAGTTGACTTTCTGGAGTTTGTTTGAGGGTTTGTTTTTTTACACATATAAAGACGAACATTTTAAAAGTTGTAGTTAAATACCTGTAATATAAAATTTACTATCTTATCCATTCTAAAGCACAATTCAGTAGTGTTAGGTGTCTTCACATTGTTGCGCAAGCACTATCCAGAACTTTTTCATTTTGTAAACCTGGAGCTTTATACCCATGCAATAATAATTCCTCATCCCTCCCCACCCGCCCCAGCCCCAGCCCTAGCAACCACCATTATGCTGTTTTCTGTGTCTGTGAATTTGGCTACTCTAGTTAGGTCATATAAGTGGGACAATGCTGCATTTGATTTTTCTGTGACTGTCTTATTTCACTTAGCATACTGTTTGTCCTCAGGGGTTGTCCATGTTGCATACTACATCAGAATTGCCTTCCTTGTTAGGACTGAATAATATTCCATCATACGCATATATCCTATTTTTCTTCTCTATTCATCAATGAATGGACGCCTAAGTTACTTTTACCTTATGGCTGTTGTGAATCATGTTACTATGAACAGTGGCATACAAATTCCTCTTCGAGACCCTGTCTTCACTTCTAATGGATATATACCCAGAAATGGAGTAGCTGGATCCTATGGCAATTCTGTGTTTAATATTTTGAGGAATTGTCGTACTGTTTTCCATGGTAACTGACCCATTACACATTTCCGGCAACAGTGCACAAGAGTTCTTTAGTTGTGTTTGTTTCTGAGGCAAACTGGAGTGGAGGGATTTCAGGGGTGGTGATGGGTTCTTTTTAGGGCCTGGGTATTTTGTAATTACTAGGTCACTCCCCAAGCCTGGGTGTGATGTGCTTCTTCATCCCCAGTGGTCTGTTAGCCCAGCCTCAGCAGGCTGGGGATCACCTGTTTTCACACAAGGACTCCTCTCACACCACAGTGGGCCACGCTTTCCCGACAGGTCAGCCGCACTGCCGCGAGACTTTCTTCACTGTTTCCTGGAGGGGGCTGGGATCGAGGCTGCCAGAGCCAGTGGTCTCCTGGCATTAGAGTCCAGGGTCTGTGTACTGCCACTGAGGGGATTTCCACTTCTGGGACCTGCAAGTACAGGAGAAAGATTTAACCAGCCTTCCTCACTGAAGGCGTGGCCTGTCCTCACGAAGTCTATTCCCCTAGGCTTTTCTGAGAGCCCACACCACCTGCTGTGCTTCACTCTGCCCATTCATACCCCATGCCACTCTCAAGGCACAGCTTGAGTCACCTTCACTGTCCCTGAGAAGACTTCTTTACCTTGAAGGCTTGGGGATGTGGTCCAGACTTTGATGCTCTTCACTCACTGACCCTTACTCCTGTACCCCCTGCAGGGGCTCTGTCTCCTTCCCACGCTGATCTGTGTCACTGCCAACCTCCTGGACTGCGTCCCTCACTGACTGATTGATTGGAGACTTTGGCCCACAGCCACCTAAGCATCTCAGTTCTTGCCACCTTCCAGGGTAACTTACTGACCACCTGGCTTCATGGTTCCATGATACCCACCTCATAAGCATCCCCCACGCCCCCAACTGCCCCTGCACTCATCCTGAGCTGCTCTACTTCAGACACTGAATTCAGACAGGCCCATCTGTGGCCACAAGCTCCTGTCCTCACTGACCCTCTGATACTTTCTAATACACCTGTCCTTCTACTTCACCGGGACCCTCACTCCTGGAGTCCTATGTTCTCTCTGTGT